GGAACCATGACCAGGTACTTGCCCTACTCCTGTTGGCTCCAGTGTCTATTAGCTTGGTGTACAGGGGACAGCTCATTCTCTTCACACTCTTTTCTCAACCCAGATAAAACTGAGCATGAAGATCAGGCTATGATGAGGTCACATTGGGGGAAATAAAATGCATATCAATCCCAATCTGGATAGTCAGGAGCATCAACACATGCTTGAAAAGCTTGGTTGGTGCTATAGGGACTAGGGTTGTATCTTTATGGGATGAGAAAGTTCTGTGTTTTAGCTTTGACCATATTCTCAATCTTACCTGTAATTAACTTTTTTTCATTTATGCTTATTGGCTTTTAAAATTTTCAGGGTTTTTTTTTTTTTTTTTGGCTTGGAAGTGAGGATTGTAGAGTAATTCTGGGCCCAGAATTACTCTACCATTGAGCTATATCACTAGCCATATCTCAGTCTCCCAAATAGCTGGAATTACAGGGTGAACCACCATAACAGGCTCAGGTGTTTTATTCAAGTGCATAAGACTTCAGTGACTGCTGTAAGAGATGATTTATATCTTGAACTAATGTGGAGTGTGCTAATTTTCCTGGCATGGTGTCTTTTCTTCCTTGCTCTTGCAGGCATGGGGGCAAGGCCGGACAGGGGCCATGTGGTAGGAGACTACAGAAGGAAGGGAGATAGGAATTGGCTTCTCTGTGGTCTGGAACTTCACCTTTGCTTATCTTTGTGGACAGTTCTGTTGGGGAGTATGAGACAACAGGTTTTCTTTTACAAGGAAAATTCGGACCTCTCCACTATTCCAGTTGAGAGGCCGGGGTCTCCAGAAATTTTCACATTTGAGTGATATGCCTAAGCTTTTCAAAAGGCCAATTAGCATAAATGAAGAACAAAATAATTAATTTTAAAGATGCAGAAGCATAAAAATGGACAATATTGAGACACAGGAGTTTCTAGCAATGAGAGCTCCAAAAGGAAGATCTTGGGAGCAGAGGGCAGTGTGAGGCCCAAGAAAAGCATTTCCTGTGCCCCTGGGGTGGTTGTCCTTGGTTTCCCCTTTCTGAGGTTCTTGTTAATTCACCTGTGATAGTCTGAGTTTTTAAGGGGGGAGGAATTGAAAAGCTTTTAATCTCTGAAAGAAAGCATAACAGAAAGTTAAATATGAGAAGCCAGGCTTGTTGACCCTACCATGTCTATGCTCTGTTCCACCACTCTGAAAACCCTCTTCTAAGTGGCAGGTGCCCTCCTGGTTCCTGTGCTATCTGTTCAGTGAAGAAACAGGGCTATCTACCCTGTCCTCTCTACTAGTCTTGAGAGTCTGGTCTTGTGGAGCTAGGGTGGTGCCCCGCTTTCTAGGGACATTGTGTGTGTGTGTGTGTGTGTGTGTGTATGTATGTATTTCCACCGATATGAAAGATAGTTCCTATTTGGTGTCTATAATGGTCTGTAAGATAGATAGATCTCCCTCCAAGAGAAAGGATCTTGCGTCTCAATGGGAATTTGTACACATAGCCAGAGCTACTGTTAAAGAAGTAGAAAACAAGACTGTAGTGAAGAGGGACAGTTTACAGGCAAAATCAAAACAACCCATTTGAGCACCTCCTCATGAGGAAAGAACGGGAGACTTTTTGCTGAGGAAGCAGAAGAGTGGTATCTGTGTTCCCAGAGGGAAGAGATCTGGGTTTGGTTTTAGTTTAGAATTCTCTTGATTCCAGTTCCTGTCACCTCCTTGACCTCCTGACTTTGAGTCTTTGAAGTGCAATTTTCCGATATTCTGGCTTAATGAGGGATCATAATCATGGCTCTTGGCATAAAGCCCAATTCCTATCTCTATAGTCCCATATGTTCTCATGAGACAGGAAAAGGGGGAAGGAGACTCCTGTATTGGAAGAATCATGTTGGCAGCTTAACTATGAAAACTTCTGATCTAAATAATCCTTTTGGCTCCTATCAAATATATTTGAGCTATTTCTAATTATGTCACCTACATTAGATTGTTTTCCTCCAGGTATGGGGCAAGTTAAACATCAGCCACTGAGTTGGTTATGTGAGCTCTGTCAGTTGAGGAACACCACGACTCCAAGACCCCTTTGCCTCTCCCACATTAGGCTGTGAGAAGGGTGGGCAATGCTCAGGGCAGATCTTTGGGCTGGATAATTGGCTCTGACATCTGGTCAAGTTACACTGAGGAGCTAGGGGGAAAGCACTGCACTTTTCTATATAGATTTTTAATACATTCCAGAAACGTAGCACCAGCTGTCTTGTGCCAGTGGATACGAAGATTGTTTTTAGGGAGTGAACATACTATTTGGGTTGATTACTTTGCTAGTAGAATCTTAACAATGTAAGGAATGTCTGGCAAAATGCTGGAGTTCACCAAAGCCTCTGAGTGTGATTTGACCAGACAGAGGGTTCAAGCACAGAGCAGCCTGTGGCTGATAGAACTGTCTATATTAATTTGCTAGGACTGACATAAAAAGGGACCTCAAACTGGATGGCTTAAACAAAAGAAATTTATTCTCTCATAGTTCCAAAGACTATAAAGGCCAAAATCGAGGTGTTGGCAGGATTGGTTCTATTGTGGAACTCTAAAGGAGATTTTTTTGGAACATTTTCTGGTCATAGCTGGCAGTCCTTGGCTTGTAGAAGCATCACTCCAATCTCTGCTTTTATCATAACATGCATGGCATTCTCCTTGGGTCCATGTCCCTGTATCAAAATTTCCCTTTTCATGTAAGGATACCAGTCACTGGATTAGAGATGACCCTGATCTAGCACGATCACATTTTAAATTGATTGGATCAGCAGACTCAATTTCCAAATAAGGTTACATTCAGATACTGAGGATTGGGATTTCAGTGTATCATTTTGTGGGACACAATTCAATTCACCATATTCCTCTTATCCATTTCCCTCCAGGACTGTTGCCTGTCCTGACCTCATCTCCCTGTGTCCAGGGTCTTCCCTCCATGATCTTTCTACACCATCAATAGAATGATCTTTCTATAATGTTGAAAAAATTTATATTATTCTTTTGTTTGAAAATATTCTCTGACTTCTAAAGTCTATACTCTTGATTTGACAAATTCCTTTATTCTATTCTCATTTGAGAACTGGACCCTTTGTCTTTATGACCTAATGTGGGCCAGGGACTGGACCTCTTGCACAGGATCTTAATTGAACCTGGCTTTGCCTGCTAGGCACTGCTAATTAGTCTCCCCTCCTACTGGGCTTCTGGATCACTCTGCCCCTTACATTACTTGGGAAGTAATCTAAGTAATTACTTGGGATTTCTTGCATGAGTGTTCCTACAGATGCCTTCCTTGTCTTTCTCCTCAGGTCTTAGTTATTGTGATTTGATTTATTTCCTAAGCTTTCACTGAAAGAAGGCAAGATAGACCTCCATATATATACTCATGAAACTAATAACTCACAAGTTGTCTTTCTTTAATCTACTGTGATAATGTGACACATTGCTTATGAATTTATTTCTTGTATGGTGAAGGGTGACACCAGACAAGTGTGGTGGAGGGTGACAGTGTTTCATTCAGGATAAAAATATATTGATGAAAACACTATTGAGAAATAAAACACTGTGAAGCCTCTCCCTAGCCGATTTGCTGGCTTGATTTTGATGTGCCTACATTTTTCTGAGATGGCAACAAGAAAATCAGTCAGTTCCAGGGATTAAGTGACTGAATCCCTAGGCAGATTTTAAGGATAGGTACATTTGCTAAACAATTAAATTTAGTAGCATGATCTATTTGCAGAGGGACAGAAGTCTTGTTCAGTGGGTTAAAGAATGGGATCCAGAGTTAGAGACTGGATTGGTAATCCTTTAATTTAAATCCATGTGACCTCAGGGAAGTGGTCCTCTTCAAGCCTTTGTGTACTTCCTGGCAGAGTTCATGTTCAGTAAATCACCGGTGCCATTATTATTTTGTTGATTTTCATACAAATGACCTGCATCTGAGAATTTTATAAGTTTTACTTGATGAACTAATGGAAATACTGGGTGACAATGCTTGTAAGTCTTTTATTTTAATTGATATTTCTTGTTGGGTGATGAGCTTTTCATAAGTAGCTTTCCAGTGACACAAAGGGAAAGTGTTTGATTCAGTGGAAGAATTGTAGAGAAAATGTAACTTATGTTTTTAAAAACTGCAACCTTTCCTGCTTGCAGAAAGTATAGACAATTTAAAAGGGAAAACAGTGAGATAGAATTTTTATTTAGATTAAATGTAACAGACATGGAAGGCAGAAAGAATAAACCTGGAATGAGGCAAGAGTTAAACTTGGTCAATTCTGCAGGTGTGGTGGTGCATATCTGTAATCCTAGCAATTCAGGAGGCTGATATGCAAAGATCACAGTTCAAGGCCGCCTCAGCAACTTAGTGAGACCCTCTCTCAAAATAAAAAATAATATGGTCTGGGAATGTAGCTCAGTGATAAAGCACTTGTGGATTCAGTTTCTAGTATCCAAAACAGGGGAAATTGATCAATTTTGGCAAACAAAGAGCATCCCCCCAAAACCAAAACAATAACAACAACAACAACAACAACAAAAAAAAACAATTTACTATGAAGGGCCAACCTTGAGGAAAATATGAGTGCTATTTAGTTGGTTTTTATTTGCTTCTTTGCTTTTTATGGGAATTGAACCTTTACTAGTGAGCTACATCCCTGTTCTTTTTTATTTTTTATTTTGAGTCAGGGTCTCACTAAGTTGCTGAGGCTGGCCTCAAACTTATGATCCTCCAGCCTCAACTTTTTGAGTCTCTGGGATTACAGGTGTGCATAGTCATACCCAGTTTCTCTCCCTCTCCCTCCCCCACCCCTCTCTCATTTTTTAGATTTCCACATATAGTACTTAGAGTTGGATAGATGATTATATTTTCCATATATCTGTTCTCATTTAACTATTCAAACAAAATGAGGCTTTTAAACGGTACTTAGCTCTCCCTTCTGAGACATTTTCTCTCTAACATTTCTCTCTTTCCCACAATCAGGTGAAAATGAAATCCTTGCAACTCTGCGTACCATTTCCAGCAAAAACCAGATTTGGAGATCGTATATTGGCATGGGCTATTATAACTGCTCAGTGCCACAGACCATTTTGAGGAACTTACTGGAGAACTCAGGATGGTAATGTATCTCCTGGGGTTACAGAACAGGAATACTGTGATCTGCCTGATTCTTCCCATCCTCCTCCTTTCCCCAAGGTGCGTCAGAGCTCACATGCTGATACCTAGATCCTGATACTGTCTCTAAACTCCAGGCAGCTGGTTTCTCTGCCTGGGAAGTCTCCTTGCTCAAGTATTAAGTAAATAGAAGCTTCTTCTTGCTTTTATTCCCATAACATCTAGCACTCTAAATTGCAGATGCTGATAGTGACTTCCTCTCTGCAACTTGGTTTCTGCGTGCTGTCTTTGAGCAGGACATCAAACCCACAGGTGGTAGACTCAGGGCTTTAGTCCTCTTTGGAGATCCTGGAACTTTAGGCTAGGTCTCAGCTTCCTCAGTGAATCAGTGTTGGTGTCCAGGAGGGAACTCAGTGGGTTGTCTTCTCTCAGATTTGAAGGTGACAGATAATCATTCCTCCCACCCCTCCCTACCCCATATCTGGATTCGTGACCAACTGAAAATGAAAAGACAGTGTTATATAAATGAAGATCATAATGTTGGTTGATTACTTAGCACTTTATTGACAAAGAGAGCATGTGTATTCTGTGGATAGGCTCTTCTTGAAAAGACAAGAGAAAGGCCTGGGTTGTGCATACTTGTTACTTGCTCCAGTTACCTCACCCTTCAGATGAGTCATTCTGCTCTTTAGGGGTCTGCACAAATGCATGCCTGACTGTGCCTGATGGCCACTCTGGCTCTCACTGATGGAACACCCTGAATGCACTTTCACATTTGAGGAACAACTTGGAGGCCTCTTTCATGCCCTCTTTGTTTTCTCCCATTGCTGAGTGCTAAAAGTCATAAAGAGCCAGAGAAGTTTACATCCCAGTGCTAAACAAGCAAATACCTTGGTCATGTCCTGCTGGGCAGAGGCCATGCTTCCCAACAGTGAATGAGGACAGATGAGGGCAGTTGCTGCTTCTGTCCCTTGGGAAATAATGGCTAACCATGGAGAAAGGAGGGCAGGGCCCTCTGTGCCTCCTCTTTGGATTGGTGACATTTTATAAGCCAAAATATTTGAATTAAACTTTATTTCAAGTGAAGCCTTAGTCCAAAAGGAAGATGTCTACTTGGGAATATAGGTGTATACTTATTCCCAGTATAAAAACAGAGCTAATATGCAGATGGAGAGATGGTGATGATTCCTAGGTGATTTGTTTGTTTCTGTAAGAAATAACTTTAATTTCTAGTAGAACCATTATTATGTGAGGACAGAATAACTCTTTGCCTCCGCAATTCAAATGTATTTATAGCAAGATACAGAGGTTATCTTTCAGATTAACATATATAAAATCAACTTTAGTAAATGGCAGATCAAGGAATCACTTCAACAAGATCTTTAAAATTCCCAAGTTCATTTAAAATTGACAAATCTTAAAATTTTGATCAATAGTTTGTATTTTTTTTATCTGCTTTTCCCTAAGTATCACTGTCACCTGGCAGGTGAGTGTGCTTTGTCCTAGTTATCTGTGTCACATCTTTATAGGAGCCAGATCTGTTGGCACAATCACACCTGCATTGCCATGCCTGCATGTAGTTTTTAGTTTCAATATGCTCCACTTCTTTATTAATAACAGGAAGACGAGACCATCTAAGAACTCGTTTTTCTGCTTGGGGTATATAGTGAATGTGTTTGCATTACTGAGGGCTTCTTTTCCACTGTGATATTGGTAAAAGTTTGAATGGTAAACTCCAAGGTTGACTTCAAAAGCAAATGGCCTGTCTCTCTGCTGCCCATAAAAAACAAAACAAAACAACTACAGCAACAACAAAACCTTCCAAAGTTCATGAATGGGCAGCAACTTTCCAGCTGTCTGAGTGCTGGCCTGCAGCCTTTGCTCTTGGTGGCCATACAGAATATTTACCATATGGCTCTCTGGTTGTGAACGAATGTGTTCATTTACTTTAGAAGCAGCCAGCGTTTGAGAGGGAGGCAGTGTTTTTGTGTGCCTTTCAATTTCCATTTGGGTGCATATTAAATATTGTTTCTTTCCATTCTCTGAAAGCTAATCTGACCCAGAGAGAGATACTGCACCTCGCCAGCACTGATAGGGAGGGCTGTGCACGCGTGGGTGGTGGACTTCACATTATCATCCTTCTGAATGGTTTCCATAGAGATGGAACCAACAAATTCCGGTGACGTGAGGTGAAAATAAATGGGCAACACAGCCTCGAAAGAATACAAACATTTAGGCCCTTAAAAGAAAATTTATATCAAATCTAGAATTTGTTTTATGCGGTCCACTCTTCCAACTTTTCAACTGCTGATAACATGAGTAACTAATATCATCAGTAACATTCACATTTTCTTTGTGGCTTTCTTTTTTATGTAATTTTGGTACCAGGATTAAAATGAGAGACACTCATGAGTGTTTGTTTTCATGAAAACCCCCACTACTTCCCTCCCTTCCAGTTCTAAAAGAAAGTCACAGCCAAAATGATAGAGAATACTAATTCATTTGAATAAATGTTAATGTCATGTTGAAAATATCAGACATCCTATTTGAGCAGAACTAAAAGCTTTCTTGGATATGCAGATACTTTTAAAATATATATTAAAGTACATA